ATACTCATAAATAAGAATTTCTAAAACTACATCAACCTTACTCTCCAACAGTAATCTTAATTCCACCAAAGTCCAAATTTAGTACTTTTCGTACTCATAAGTACGAATTTCCAAACATACCTCAATCCTGATTTCAAATCGTAATCGTAAGTCAAAATTTAAGAATTCCAGCTCTGTCTGTTAATCAAAAACCAAATTGTACCAGATTTGGTACCATTCTGTACTTTTCGTACCCATATTCCAAACTATATTAAATCTAGACTCCCACAGTAACCTAAGTTGCCACATTCCGGATTCGAATTCTACCCGTTCACCAAAGTCCAAATTGTACCAAATTTTATGCTTTTCGTACCCATAAGTACGAATTTCCAAAACTACCCCAGTCATGTGCTCCAACAGTTCTCCCACAGTAACCTAATTTGCAACTTTCTGGATTCGAATTCTACCCGTTCACCAAAGTCCAAATTGCACCAAATTTTGTGCTTTTCGTACCCATAAGTACTACCCCAGTCATGTTTCCCAATAATAATCTTTAGTCCACATTTAATGATTCCAGCTCTATCCGTTCACCAATAACCAAATTTAGTACCATTTTTTACTTTTCGTAGAGGTAAATACGATTTTATAAAACTTACTCAATTCCACACTCCAACAGTAATTTTAATCGTAAATTTGAGGATCCCAGCCCTATCCGTTCACATAAAATCAAACTATAGCATATTTGGTACCATTTAGTACTTTTCGTACTTTAAGTTTGAATATTCAATACTGTCTCAATCCTGTACTCTAACAATAATTTTATTTTTAAATATAAGTTTTCTATTTCTATCTCTATCCTTTCTTAGTACCATTTAGTACACATAATCATGCACTTTCAAAACTACCCCCATATCTCAATCTTAAACTCCACCCTTAATTTTGATTCCAAATTTTAGGATTCCCGCTCACACAAAACGAATTGTACCCTATTTAGTGCCATTTAGTACTTCTCGTATCCAAAAGTACGAAACTCCAATACTACCTTAATGTGATTGTGATTTGCATTCCAAAATTAAATTTTCCATCTCTATCCATTCACTCTGATCTAAACTGTACCAAATTTAGTACCATTTAGTGCACGTAATGACAAATTTTCAAAACTACCGATATATTTCAATCCTGCACTCCAACAGTAATATTAATTCAAAATTTTAGGATCTCAACCCTATCCATTGGTACCATTTAGTACTTTTTGTTTCTATAATTAAGAATTTCCTAAACTACGTCAATCCTACACATCAAAAGTAATTTTAATTTTCAAAATTCTGGAGTCCAACTCTATCCATTCTACTTAATCAAATTGTACCAAATATAGTACCATTTGTACACATAAGTACTATTCTTCCATATCTTAATTCTATATTCTAAAAGCAGCCATTTTTCCAAATTTTAGGTTTCCAGCTCTCTCCGTTCACCCAAATCCAAATTGTACCACATCTAGTGCCGTTTAGCACTTTCCGTACACGCAAATACGAATTTCCAAAGATGTCTCTATAGCTCAATCTTCAACAGTAATCAGAATTCTAAATTTCAGGGTTTAAGCTCATCCGTTTAAGCAAAATCCAAATTGTACTATATTTAGTACCATTTAGTACTTTTCGTACCAATAAGTACGAATTTCCAAAACTACATAAATTCTACACTGCAACAGTCATTTTAGTTCCCAATTTCAAGACTCCAGCTCTATCTGCGAACCGAAATCCAACATGCACCAAATTTAGTACCATTAAGTACTTTTCATACACATAAGTTCGATTTTTTAAAGCTACCTCAATCCTGTTCTACAACAGTAGTGCTAATTCCGATTTTTAGGATTCCATCTCTATACACTCAACTAAATGCAAATAGTACCAAATTTAGTACCATTTTGTACTTTTTATAAACATAAGTACGAAATTCTTAAACCATTTCCATACATCAACACCACTTCCCAACCTGTATTCCATATACAATTTCAAGATTTGAGCTATATATGTTCAATATATATATATATATACAATTAGAACTAAATTTAGTACTTTTAGTACACTTATAGGTCGAATTTCCTAAAACCCTTTTGTACAGCTTTCTAACTTCCCATCAGTGACCCACATTCCAAATTTCAGAATTCTAGCTCTTCCCGTTCGCCTAATACAAAGGGTACCATATTTGGTTCATTTTAGTACATTTCGTACGCTTCTACTTCGAATTTCCAAAAACCCAGCCTTATCTCACGCCTACACACCAACAACAACCCACACACAAAATTTCAAGCTTCTAGCTTCAGCCGTTTCGTCTGGGCGATGATCTGTCAGTCAGTCACTCTCTCACTTAACACTAAGCTCTTTTATATATGGGCAATATTGCCAATTTTTTAATATTCCATTTTCAAAAAATCAGCTTTTTCGTTTTTGTGGCACATCAATGATTTTTGGTACACATATAGAGAAAAATGTTCTGACTCCGAAACCGTTCGCAATCAAATTTTTGGTTGATGCGCGCAAAAGTTATCGAGGTTTTAATTTTGGGCATAAGAAAAAAATCTTAAAATTACGCCGTTTATTATATTGACCAAAAAGTTTGATATAGATCTTCCTCCGTAAAATAAGAATATGAATATATTATAATAATCGCGATAAAGTTGCACATCTTCGCGAAATATGAGAAAAATAAAAAAATGAAGTAGATTACATCAATATTTTTATTATATTAATGACATACACACACCTAAAAATTAATTTAAAAATATCTACATAATCCAAACATCATGATGAATCAAATGATATCAAAAGCACACAAGTCCGTGTAGCGGTTTGTAAATCACAGCGACAACAAAACAAGATATTGAGGAAAAATATTTGTTTTTGGTTCCAAAAAATAATGTCATCATATTTATTTTTTTAATTTTATACAAGAAATTTCAGAAAAAATGTTGGGGTTATTCTGCTATTTTACCCGAATTTCGCCGAAAAATTGACATATAGAATAATAATCACTTTTGGTGTATAAGTATACGCCTTGCGGATTATATCAAGACCCTTCCGATAAATTTTGTGGCTCTATAAATAGGAATAAATCTTAAAATAAAATATTATTATGAAATATCAATTTTAAATTGCGTCTAAATCGCGTAATTCTCAAAATCATTTGATGCGCATGCGGTTTCCAGGAAGTCCTGAAGTTTATCTTCCAATCCATATATATGTGCCACACGTTGCATTGAAGTACCCAAAAAATCGTAAAGCGCAAATAATTTCCAAAAACTCCATATGCCATTAACGCGCATCCGATTTCGGTGTACACCGAAACCCTAAAAAAATACATCGATCTATACCGATTTCAATGTTGTCCATTAAGAACCATGGATGTGCCAGCTCACATTATTTTTGAGATAAATTGGGTACATCTCTCCTTAGGCTGAAATTTCTAAAGTTCTCTTTTCGAAAAAGATCAAAATCCGTATGAGGTCATTTATTGAAGCGTTAATGGTCCACAGAAAAGGCAAATAAAACCGCGATATTTTCAAAAACATTTATTGCCAAATTTCGTGTTTTTGGAAGGCCAGTTCCCGCCGTTCTAGTAGATGGATTTGCACGAAGAAGATTTTATATCATCCGAAACGTAAAAAAACCTTATTGATCGCGGGTACCCATATCATTCAGTTGACAGATCTAAATATTTGGCCCGAAAAATAGGTTTTTTTAGAAATTTGATCGCACAAAATGTTCACCATCGGATGAGTATTACTCTGAAGCTGTGCATATTACATACACAAAATACATATCAAATTACTCAGATTCGCGACTACAATAATCATATAATCGATTTTTTGAAATTCCTGTTTTCGTATTAAAGCTAGAAGTAAAATTAAAAAAACACTCAAAATCGAGCTTCAAAATGTCAGCATCATTTAAAGGTAGATGCAGTTAAAATTTTGAAAAATGATACATAAGTGGCGTAGTCCCCATTTTGTTGGCTTCTAGTTTTTCTTTGACACGAAGACCGTGAAATGAGTGGCTTAGTCACAAATCGATAGAGAACATAAAAAAACGGGTTCGCCTCAACCTGTTTTTACACATTTTTTTTCATTAAAGTAGACACAGCTTCCACCCAAATAAAGTTTGGAGGTCAATATCATGAACAGTTTGCACCGACACATCAATTAACCCAAAACTATTCACTTTTTTTCATACACTTAAGTAATTCCCGAGTTATAAAGGGGCGAACCTCCGCTTCAGCTATGTTAAAAAATTGGCAATATTGCCCATATATAGATGTGATATGAAAAATAAGCAGGTTTGAACGCTGCTAATTTTGACACACATAAGAAATTACATATGGATGAAATAAGGGACAGCACATGGGTAAAATACATATCGTGAAAAAGCACTATAAGTAAGTTCATTAATAGGCCTCACTCCGTTCTAACAAAAAATAAAACAAAAATAATTTATTTTATTTTTCACAATTCCATTATAAATCAAACTTTTATTTGTTTCATTATATTTTATAGCATTGTCCATTTGTTAAGCAATTAATAACCTAAATAATATAAAAAAAATTTACTTAGCTGCAAAATAAGAATAATTTTTAAAATTATAAAATAATAATAAAATACTTATTAAAAAACCCAAAATTTGTAAAAATATGTATTACAATTTTTTTCAAACTTATGCTATTTCCTTGTGGGGAAGCTATGGAAACCAAACCAATTTTTAAATCTCATGTTTTGTTTTTGTTATTAAATTTAAGAGAAATATTTAAGAATAGAAAAAATGAAAGATTGTAATAGAAAAAAGGTAATAATCACATATCTGTTTAAGCAAACTACAATTAAAACGTGGAAAATTATAAAAAAACTAAAATTAACTTTAAATGCTTAAAAACGTAAAAACTAAATATTTGTTAGGTTAGGTTTAAAATTAGGTTAGGTTACATTGCAATACGATCGGTATTTTTGTTCTGTTTTTAATGTTAAAATTTTAGCACGATTCCTTGTTACAATCCACGAAATTACTAAACTCGGTTGCATTCGGTGGTCCCTCACTGTAGAGATAGGTCACAGGCCAAAGACGGGCTGCTGTGAAGTCACTTAAATTCTGTAGGCCACCAGGTCTAGGTGGCTTCTGATATTCTTCGGATGTTGAGGCGGCCGATGAATAGCTATCGGAGGGTTTTCGTTTTTCATTTGGCTTCAGAGGTTTAACACTGAGGCCGGAATGTGTTAGGGTATGATTGCCGGGGAAATAACGATCGCTACATTTACGCCATTGATCGGGTTCATCGCCAACAAAGCACCTATGGTACGGGAATGAAAAGAGCGGTATTAAAAACCATAATGTGAATAGAACTGTCGTAGTATTGGTAAACAAATTCTAAGTCTGTTGCAAAGACTATTAATAAGGTCATCCAGGGAGTCCAGCTGTATATTAGCTGCATCTCAATATTGCTATCAAAATCCGCTATTGTGAATTGACTTCCGTTATGAAAACGTAAACAAAATCCACATTGTTGACATTAGACTTGAGAAAAACAGCTGATTCTCGCTTGCTGGGTGACCTTATTAATAGATCTTGGTCTGTTGTAATAAATCTAATTTCCGAAGGAATAGGGATAAAAATTAAAAGCAGGTAAAGTTCGAAGAGGGGCTATATAGATATACTATTATTTATTTCAAATGTGTATTAAAATTGATTGCCAGTATACTTGTTTTACTTACCATGGATAATCGAATCCCTTGGAATAGCCACATGGATGATCCATTTTACAACAATAATCCCATGAACCAATTTCACCACCCTCAATTTCACACGAATAGAAACCGGTTATTAGATTTTTCTCACATGGACTGCTGCGACGACAGGGTTTGCCCGATACCGAATAATGGCGCCAAGCCAAATCACCTAGAAAAGGACACAATAAATAACAACATTTAATACATAGACCATTCAGAATCACTATTTCCACCACCATCCATTACCTGGTTCCCTAAATATATCCATGCGACGATTATTATTAACCCTTGAACCACCTATCGTGTTAACCTTATCCCGACATGTATAATCGAATGGATTCCATGCGAATAACCAAAAATCTCTATCCTCCGTGTGTTTGTAATGGACATTTAATTTCAATTCGGTTTGATCCAAATCGGACATTTCACAATTGAAGGTGGCCTTGCGTGAGCTGTTCGGATGAGAGAGAGATGATGAAAAATGACAAATGAATCTTTAACGAAGTTCCAACTTGCCAGGGAAGCAATACACTTACCCATAACTAAAGGAATAACATTTAAATGCTGTTGTATCCCGGAACCGCATACATTCCTTTTTACACTCCATTTCGGAGGGCGTGGTTATAACTTTCTTTATGGCCGGTGGCATTAGCTTGGCAGCCGAACCATAACCCAAATAACAGAATGCTAAAATGTTCAGATACAGATATTTTAAATTTGAACTTTCAATACAGAAACAGTTTCAAAGTTCGAAATTTTCGAAAATCGAAAAATGTTTTTTTTCGAACTTTAAAAATAATATTTAAATTTCGAATATTTTTATAAATTATTTTTTTGTGATTTTTTTTTAATTTTAAACTATATAAATTTCTTCGAATTTTTCAAATTTTTTAATACGGAAAATTTTTTGATGTTCGAAATTTTCGAAAACCGAAAAATGATTTTTTTAACTTTAAAAATATTATTTAAATTTCGAATATTTTTATAAATTATTTTGTGTATTTTTTTAATATCGATATTCGAATTTCAAAATTATTAATTCACATTTTTAAAATTATTAATTCAAAAAATTTATAAATTTTTGGTTTTCACAATTTTATTTCGAAATTGAAATATAAAATTTTAGAATTTCATTTTTTTCAATTTCAAAAATATTCCGAAATTTTGTTTCATTCTGAAAAATGTTTCTTACATTTCTTGTGTTTCTCATCGACAATGGGTTGAATTTCACAGCCATGTCCATAACTGGCACGTTCGAAAATATCGAAAGCCTTATCCAAGACCAGATGACGTTCCTTGTCCATATCCCGAACGGGCCAATCGCTGAGCTGACAATTATCGATAACACTAGCATGGCGCATTTGACCATAGCGGAAGGCAAAGGCACGACAGGTGAATTTCGTTGATTTTATACATTCCATTTCACATTCACCCACCGAACGTACCGTCAACGAATCGCGAACAATGGACTTAAAGAATCGGGTGGCATCAATGGCACGGAAGAAGCATTCTGATCGAAAATAGAGAACGAGAGAGAGAAAAAACCATTTTAGTCCCCCACTTACATCTTCCCCACGCATTCAAAACTTACGAGCATTACGGGGATCTGCCAAGGCCGTGGTTGGTGGGCCTCCTCCTCCTCGTGGTCCATCACTGCGTGATGGTTTGCGGCAAACATTCATATCATCTGACATCGAGTAGATATCGTAATTACGATCCGGTTCAATATCCACATAGTAATCCAAACGATTTATGGGTCTGTCACACAACATACAATTGTCCCGACTACCAGACGAATAGCGATACGAGAAGGTGTGACAAATAAATGCATCCTGGCCATAACACAAACGTTCACATTCCGTTAGGCTGGGCGCGGAATAGATGTGTTTTACAATCTTCTTGTGTAAACGGAAACCTTCCGAAGTTTTTGCCGAACATTCTTTAAGGAATAAAATTAAAAATGTTTTAAAAATCTTTTTTTTTAAGGAATTTCCTGCTGCTCACCATCTGGTCCCGGCCGCCTTGTCCATTGATGACGATAATCAAAACGATCCGAAAAGCCATCGTGTTTATTATAGCCACCATAACTGGATCCGGGATAACTCAAAACCGAATTACTTTCATGTGGCGGCTCACCTTTGCGCGACGGTGGACCCAAATCGAAATAGTTAAAGTCAATGGGATCCCTCGGCTTGGTGCGATGATCTGTAAGACCCCAATAGGCAGTTTGTTTATTACGATAGCCACCATAATTGCCACCATAGGAACCCCATTCATTATCGGTACCAATTAGGTAGGGCACATATTTCCCACCTCCACCACCACCGCCACCACTGGGACTACCACCTTTTTTGTAGGACGACGGGGGACGATCACGATCTAAATAATTATAGGAAGGTGGTGGTGGACCAGGACGATATGAATCCGGTGCATGGGAACCTGAAGGGCGATATGGTGTGTACTCAGGACCAGGACGATAGGGGGGACGATAACGTTCTGAGGAATGCTTACCACCATCATAGCCACCACTGCCACTGCCGCTGGGCAAGGCTTCCCATTTCGAGGGATATGGCCTGTAACGATCACGATCCCGATCACCACCATGATGTATGTCATAACGATCGATGGGCTCCAAACCGGAACCACTGCTGCCATAGCCGCTGTGCGAAGAATGTTCGTAGTAACCCGAGCTATGCGAGGAGAACTCATGGGAACCGCTGTGATGTTCATAGGAATAGGGTGGACGACCATGTGACTCATATGAGGGACCCGATGGCCCAGAGGGGCCATAATGTTCTAATGATGAACTACTGCTACTGGGCGGAGGACGACTATAGTAGCCGCTGCTGCCTCCACTTGGCGGTGAGGGTAGATAATGATCATCCCTATAAGGTGGTTTGTCACTCCATGCCCCACTGGGCTTATTGTAATGCGATGAGGAGGGTGCCAAGGGCGGAGGTGGCAATTTACTGGTACAATCTCTACACACATTATAACGACAGCTGGGTGGGGCATTACGATCCCTTTCGTAATAATCATAATCTGGATGCCGCAACAAATTCGAATCTCGACGATTAGCGCTGGAGTACAAATCAATTTGGGCCAAGGGTATTTCGATTAGCTCACAATCACCCTGACCATGACCCGAAGGATCGAGGCGATAATTGAAACCCTCGCAGGTGAAACGTTTTTCACGGCCGCATTCACGCATACACTCTTCGACGCGTTCACATGCTATGGTCCGTCGCACCCAATGTGGGGCAACTCGCTTGCCGGCCAGCACACGTCTAAAGCAAGCTGCAGATCACAAAGACAGCGATAACAACAAAAAGAAGAAAACAAAGAGAATGGAATAAATTTACCAAAGGAAAACATATTTTGGCGAAGTTTAACGGCTAATAAAATTAATGGCTTCTTTAGTTTTTTGGCAAAACAGACATTAAATTAATTCAATCCCCTCTCTCCCCTGGTGCTAAAGGGTAACTTTTTTTATGGTGATTAATGTAAACATTGGCTATAGTAGTTTTCCACCTGCGATTTTTTCCTACCCAATTCATTTGTGAGAATTTTTATCGCCATTATCAACGGGCTGCCATCGCTTCTGCGATTTGTAAATTTATGCCACCGTTTGAAGGTCGGTAAAGCGCGACTTTACGCTTTGGAAGGGATTAGCTGCAGTTGATTTACGTTTTGTCACTTCACTAGAAACGGATGTGGCCAAAGCCATCTTTAATTGGCATTGAAAAACTTCAAACGGGTAATGGGGAAATAACAGATACAGTCAGCATTGTTTACATCGATGGGAAACATATAAAAATAATGGAGATTATCCATAGATGGCGTTGATAATCTATGAATAATTTGTTTCTTTGTTTTAGTATATTCCTTTTAACTTCAACATTGAATCATTTATTCGTGAAATATCGGCCGAAATATTGGAAAAAGTATGCTGAGATTGGATAGAGACACACTATTATGTCTTTGTGCATACGTTTGTAACAGACAAACATAATCGAGATATACCCATGGTTCCTTTTGAGAATATGCATAGAATCACCTTTCTGCGTCGATTTATTTCCGTCCGTCCGTCTGTCCATGTATTTTTGTTAACAAAGTACAGGTCGCATTTATGATCCGATTTGGATGAAATTTGGCACAGATCACTTAATTGGCCCAAGGACGAACCCTATTGAAATTGGGAAAAATCTGTTCAGATTTAGATATAGCTCTCATATATATATTCGTCCGATTTAAGGTAAACGGTGTACCATAGTCCCTAAATATCTTTCGATTTGCCCGAAATTTGGCATAGCGAAATGGATTAGGTCTAGAATGATGTGTGTTAAGTTTCCTGAAAATCGGTGCAGATTTAGATATAGGTCCCATATATATCATCGTCCGATTTAAGGTAAATAGTGTACCAAAGTCCCTACATATCTTTCGATTTGCATGAAATTTGGCATATCGTACTTAATTAAGTATAGAACAGTGCACGTTAGGTTTCGTGAAAATCGGTTTGGTTTTACATATAGCTCCTATATAAATTTTCGTCTGATTTAATGTAAATGGTGTACCAAATTCCCTATACATATTTCGATTTGCACAAAATTTGGCATAGTGTACTGAAATGAATCTGGAGAGATGTGTGTAAAGTTTCCTGAAAATCGGTTCCGATTCATATATACCTTCTATATATTTTTTCTTCCGATTTTATGTAAATTGTGCACTAAAGACCCAAAGTTTGTCCGATTGCCACACAATTTTGTTCAATAAACTGTTTTTTATCATTAAATATCTTTTGATTTGCCCGAAATTTGGAATTGCGAAATGGATTAGGTCTAGAATGATGTGTGTAAGGTTTCCTGAAAATCGGTTCAGATTTAGATATAGCTCCCATATATATTTTCGTCCGATTTAAGGTAAATGGTGCACCAAAGCCCCTAAATATCTTTCCATTTATACGAAATTTGGCACAGCGTACTGAATTAAGCCTAGAATGATGTGTGCTAAGTTTGGTGGAAATCGATTCAGTTTTATATATAGCCCCATATATATTTTCGTCCGATTTAAGGTTAATGGTGGACCAAAGGTTAAGGTTAATGGTGGACCAAAGTTCTTCTACATCAGTCTTATTTGCGCTCAGATTCGAGCACCTCGATATACATAAGGTCACCAGGATTTCTCCTGATCAAACAACGAGAAATCATGTTGTGATAGACGGAAGGCATTCATCCAGTGTTTTTGGAGCGAATAACAATTCGGACCACTACCTTGTAGCAGCCAAGGTTCGCACTCGCCTCAATGTAGCATCAAAGATGCGATCTAATGTAACACGAAACTCGACGTCGAAAAGCTGCAAACACAACAGATAGCAGAAGCCTACACCCAACTGCTAGACGAAATCACTCCTTGTCCCGATAATAATATAGAAGCACAATGGCAAATAATTGTCCACTCTCTACAAACTGCAGCAAAAATAACACTTGGGTACCAAAAACCACCATCAAGAAACCCATGGTACGACCAGGAGTGTCGTAATGCAGGGGCAAACCTGCAAACAGTAGCAACACGAAATGCGAGAGAGAATTATAGGGAGAAAATGAGAGAGAGGAGAAACGTATTTTCAGAAAAAAAGAAGAAAGAACAAGAAAAACGTGAGCGTGAGCAAATCGACATGCACAGGAGTCAGAATGAAGTCCGGAAATATTTACCAACGAGTAAAACACCAAACCGAAGGCTTTGGCGCAGGCACATCCTCCTGTAGAGATGAAGATGGAAACCTGGTGACAGATACAGACAGCGTGTTGAATATCTGGAAGGAGCATATTGAAAAGCTTCTGCTATCAAATATTGGTGGTGAAGAAGATACCCCAGAACCAATAAGAGATGACCTCATCTAGCCAATATGTGGTCAGAGTAGCAAGCAATCGGCTGAAGAATAAGACAAGACAAGTGATATGTGCCAACTATATAGGAATTAGTCTTCTTCCCATCGCATATAAAGTGCCATCCAGCGTGCTGTGCAGAGATGGCCTGTCAGAAACAGTGACGTAAATGACATACATTTCCGACGTATAATACATACGTCAGAAACGTCGGAAACCTACCCAAATCCATTAGGTTTTTGACAAAATAGCAATTTCCATTAATCAATCTGGATATTACGCATGCTTAACTCAAATTAATATTAAATTTCAAAATTTTCTTCTCAAAAAAATGTAGTAATTTTTACCAGTTCTGGCAAGGTATAGTGAGATATATGTAAAAATAATATGTATTCTTGAAAATAACTGTATATGCTGATAATATTGAAATAAATGACGTTTACTACATTTATTACATTTTATACAGGTATATGACGTTTTCGACGTTTACACCTTTTTGACAGTCGAAAACCAAAAAATTCGTCACACGGACCATCCCTGGTGCTGTGTGAACGACTGAAGCCAATGGTCAATGACATTATTGGACCATACCAATGCGGCTTCAGGGCTACAGATCCTGGAAAAGACCCACGAAGAACACATCGACACATTTCACCTGTTCGTCAACTATAAAGCCGCAGCCATATCCGTTCGGAGGTGTCATGTCTGCACAAGGTCAGCATTTGAACAAGGCTACTCGGAGTCCTTGAATGCCGAACGTGGATTCAGACAAGGTGACAGAACTAACTGCGGAACTTGACAGCTTCGAGGTAGTCAAAGATTTTATATACCTCGGTACCGCCATAAATAAAACTAATGACATCAGTTTTGAAATTCGTAGCGTTGGCCACCAGATGCTACTATGGTCTAAGTAAGCAATTTAGAAATAAGACCACCTCTCGCCAGACCAAGCTCACACTCTACATCAACGCCCAGACGAAACGGCTGAAGCTAGAGTCTTGAAATTTTGGGAGAGGGTCACTCTTGGTCCAAATGTGACAGAGAAGGCTGGGTTTTTGGAAATTCGTACTAGAACGGTACGAAAAGTACTAAAAAGTACTAAATACAAATGGTATCGTATTTGGCGAACCGGTGGAGCTAAAACACTGAACACATTTGGTTTGGTGGTCGCTGATGGAGTGTAGAATAGATGTACCAAAGGGTTTTTGGAAATTCGAACTACAACTATCCGAAAAGTACGAAAATGTACTAAATTTGGTATAATTCTGTAGCTTGTGAATGGATTAAGCTAAAAACTTGTAATTTGGAATCCAAATTAAGGTTGAGAAGTAGGGTCGATATGAGGAGAGTTGGGAAAGCGTGTACTCATGTGTAAAGAAAGTACTATATGGTACTATATTTGGTACAAATTAGATTTAGAGGTACAATTCGTGCTGGAATCCTGAAAATTGAAAGTAACATTACCGTCGGAGTGTAGGATTGGGATATGTACGTAGTTTTGGAATTTTTTGTCTTATGTGTACGAAAAGTACTAAATCGTACTATAATTGGTACAATTTGGATTTGGGTGAACCTATAGAGCTGCAGCAATGAAATTTGGAGTTAGGATCATTGTAGGGATGTGAGATTAGGATCAGGATTCAGTTTAACAAATTAATACTTATGGGTACTAAATGGTACTAAATTTGGTACAATTTGAATTTTAGGTGAACCAATAGAGCTAGAGTCATGAAATTTGGAGTCTAGATCACTGTGGATGTGTAAGATTGAAATATGTAGGATGTTTTAGAAATTTGTACTAATGTGTACTAAATTTAGTACAATTTAAATTGTGGGTGAAGCGATAGAGTTGAAATCATGAAATTTTGATTTGGGATCACTGTGAAGGTGTAGGATTGGGGTATGTAGGCAGTTTCGGAAATTCGTACTACTGTGTACTAAATTTGGTACAATTTGAATTGTGGGTGAACCAATAGAGTTGGAATCCTGAAATTTGAATTTGGAATCATTGTGGGGATGTAGGATTGGGGTATGCAGGAAGTTTTGTTAGATGGTTGAGGAGGGTACTTATGGAAATAATGTGTGCTAAATGGAAAATTTTATTAAATTTGGATTTGGGTGAACCTCAATTATATTTTTCTCTGACATATGCAGTTATCTCTAATAATAAAATAATATGTTAATACATTTTTAAATATTTCCTATATTCGCTAACGAAGTTGCGGGAATATGCTAGTATTCGATAAAATGGGGCTTTTTGTAGCGATTTTCAACCTAATTGACTTTTAAATTAATTTGTCATATTCTCATGTGTTATCAAACCTTCGGACCGAAAATTATCATTATTTATCCACATTTTAGGGTAGCCCTAATACAATGGTACTCCAATTATTCGAAATTTTTCTGATTATG